AATTGCTAAGGGTAACAGACTATTGCCATTTTTAGAAATAAATAATGTTATCACAAGTACGCAGCATGGGTTTCAAAGTGGTAAGTCAACTACAACAGCAGTCTTCAATTTTGTTGAGAGAATTTTACACTTTTTAAACTCGGGAAATATTGTTCACGGAGTATTCTTAGATTGTGTGAATCACCATATACTTCTTAATAAATTATACAAAATGGGGGTGCGAGGTAATGAATATGACTGGTTTCAATCTTATAATACTAATACTCTCCCTAATTCACCCCCTTACGAGTGAATTTCAACCCCTGGGGTAGTATTCTCGAGTCACGAATATAGATTCGCATGCGAGATTTATGATTTGTCTCACTTGGTTTTCGTTCAACAAAGTGACACATTTTAAAACACGTATGCGACTGTCGGTATTCGTGATTCGAGAATACTACCCCTGAAGTCGACTGAACGACTTGTGTAGGGGAAGGGGCGGCTATTATTATTTGCCGTGGTGCTCCGGGGCGACTTAAAGATGATTGATGGTGCCATTTGACTTACAGGTGAGGAAAACCTCACCCACCATCATAGGGGTTTGTTTTAAATAGGACAATAGCGAATATTACTCTGAATCAAAAAATACTATGCTGGGTGTTCCACAGACAGAGTTGGGTTGTATCCGGATACAGTATCCGGATACTTTATGTGTATCCTAAAGCTGTATCCGGATACTTTTCAAATTTTGTATCAGGTATCCGTATCCGTGACCAAATTTGTAAGTATCCGGATACTTTTAAATTATTTACCACAATCGTAACTGATCCAATCCATATTATCTCTATTAAAATGTTTAATCGAAATACTTTGAGCTACCTACTTAAATAAAAAATAGTAAAATAATTATTTTATTATGATTTGTAGCCTTGTTTGGTGCACTCTGTAAAATTTAAAATAACGCAAAAAAATTTCTCATCGCCAAGGATGAATTCGACGATTCACCCAGTATACAAACGGTATCTTCCGGCACGTTTTTACAGGAAAAATCCTGCAAACTCTTGTCCGGTGTTAACGTCACGAACTTGTGGAGATTCCATTAGCCCAGTTATGTTTCAGTTGGCAAAGACAAGAGACGGTTGTTGCTGTGTTTTTATATAGTGCAATATAACTAAACTTTCTGCATCAGTTTTAGTGCCTGGGGGTATTACTTCCATTTAATAAAAATATTAAAAGTAAAGATATAATAATAGCTGAATGATTGTATGTGTTATAATGTACTCATACATGTATGACGTTGTTGCTCATAATGTTACTGATCATGTGTTATTTATGTCGTCATCAACATCAATAAAATATACAGATCTGACAAGATCAAATATACGAGCCTGCTTTGCCTATGCTAGAACGAAACATTCAGCAATCTCACTCCTCCTTTCGACGCTCTCGACTCTACCAAGTACCGCTCGTCGGAGGATCCACAAAAAATGGATTGTCGAATACATCTGACACTGACGAAAATATCGAAAGGTTGTATAAACATGGAAAGTCGCACCAACAACGAGCTTATTCTGTTAGATTTATATGGACACGACACTGGTTGGTTTTTGGCGCGGTTCAGGCGCGACTCGTTTTATTTACACCCACCTTTGTTTTATTGTTCATTTTGTTTTAATGTTTTATATTCACAGAATAAAAATAATAAACAATTTTTCGAGTAGTTTTTTTTCCTGTTTCTATTATATCGTTTTCCATTTTCGATAATTTATTTATGCCTAGTATTGTTTATTGTTACTCGTAATCAATCTTATTGCATAATTATAACTATTAGTATGAAAACATTATTTTAACTAACTTTAATAGTATCCGAAAAAAGTATCCGTATACTTGTATCCGAGTACTTTTTAGGTAAAAGTATTAACTCTAAACCTGCAGCAGCGAGACTGCACAAAGCCTTGACAAAAGGGAGAATGGATTAGGGATGCGCATCGAACATCGATGTTCCTAATACGATGTTTTATTCACATCGATGTAGGGCATTTACATGTTTTCGGAAAACCTCTGCTTTTCGTATTGAAATTTTATGTATACTATTACCGGTAAAGAAATTACCTCCCGAAATCGAGATCTAGACCCTGCATTGGCCGCCACCTATTAGTAATATGATGCAATGACGATTCTTGGAATTTGTGTTAATACCTGTTTTTTAAATTTTTGATGTTTTGTTTTTTTATTAATACATATTACAATTTTCTAAGTTGTATATGATATTTTAACATATAAAGCTTTTACTACTGATTTCTGAACACGACCAAAATATAATATTTACTTTATAGCATTAAATTAAAAAAATCCACTATAACTTAAAAAATCATTTTCAATTAACAAAAATTCCGAACATCAATTTCGATGTCTAACATCGATGTTTTTCTTGCGATGCGCATACCTAGAGTTGATACAGTTATGGCGTTAATAAGAAGCCAAATGGAAGCTTCAGCAAGAGCTCGCCTCCTACTCGAAACTCACTTTCCTGGAAGCACACGCCTTTTCTAATAAAGGGACGACTAAGGTAAGCAGACCCTCAAGAGAGGCCGCTGTAGTGGCCAAACATATATGCAGCAGCAATTGGTTAAAGTGGGCCGTAAACACGTTCGAACCGTTTAAGTCTCTAGGTGTGGATAGAATATTTCCTGTCCAGCTTCAGCGGGCACATGAGGAATTACTACCATATTATATTTTATTTTCTACAACTTGTCATGCCTCTACAATAAATTTATATAACATTTACATCGCCAACAATTATTTATAATTGGGATTCATAATTTGAGATCCCAAAATCACAACAAAAGATGGTGCCGTGAGGTGAGACTTAGTATAAACCACATGAAAACAACACTAGTACCTTTTCCTCGTCTCAATACCGTCAAATTAGACGAAAAAAGAAGTCAAATATCTAGGCCTAACCCTGGACAACAAACTTCTCTTGAACTTACATGAGAAGGAAGTAGTAAATAAGGCCACAAAAACCCTAATGGTATGTATACATTGCGGGTAAAAGATGGGGATGTAGCCTGAACACACTGCAATGGATGTATACAGCAATATTGAAACCAATCATCATTTACAGGGCTATAGCATGGAGTAACAACTAGTTTAGCTACTACGAGACCTAATATCTCAAAGATACAAAGACTAACCAACCTATGTTTGCATCACCAGTGCAATGAGAACCTGTCCTACGGCCGCAATGGAGGTGATCTTAAATCTCACCCCCCTACATTTAATAATGGAGAACGTGGCAAAAAAGACATGATATAGAATGATCAGGAGCAAAGTAATCAGATGAAAGTCTAATAGCTTCAGGACCAAAGATACTTGGGATTTGCCCCAAGAAGAAATGAGAAAGTACAGTGTTGTGAAAAACTTTAAAATCACAAAGCTGGGCTGCAAGAAAGAATGGAAGCAAGAATCCATCATTCTTGCATCCGAAAGACATGCTATTCAGTAGTATGGGCCTTACCAGGCACTCTGTAAGTTTGGGAAAATACCCAAGCCTCTTCCAGGTAGAAATTCACGTCAGTGAGAAGTGTATCCAGTTTAACATAGAGAAAAACTATCATAGACAAGAGATTATCATCTTATCTGATAGCCAAGCAGCCATCAGAGTGCTGAGCTCTAAAGTAATCAGCTCAAAAATGGTCTGGAGACGCCTAGAAAAATTGAATGAACTAGAGGAAAATACAGTTACTCTCACTTGGGTCCCGGAACATAACAGGGTAAAGGGTAATGATATTGCAGATAGTTTTGCAAGGAAAGGGACTCAAACACCCTTTGTGCGACCTGAGCCGTTTTGCGGTTTCATCTTCAACACATTATTAAGAGATTAAAAAAAATTGGGCAGTAGAAGAACCGATCATTGGAACAATCTCTTGGGGCCAAGATATTTCTGGATGAATATAACCAGAAAAGATCGGAAGCCTGTATCTGCCTGAGCAATAACAGGCTACGTATTGTAACAGGGATCCTTACTGGGCATTGCCGACTCGAAGGACTCCTTAGTATACTGAGAGTAGTAGAAGATAGTGAGTACAGATTTTGTAAGGAGGATGAAACCTCCATTGACATTCTGACTGAATGTGCAACAATCCAGAATCCAAGGAGCATATAATAAATAGAAGAGGGATATTTACTTAACTTGAAGCCACTCCAAATCCTACACTTCTGAGGATATAGGATTGGAAGGGTCGTTATAGCCATTGAGACATGTCCTTGCTGCATTAGCGACAGAAGGGGGCACAATAGATGTTTTAGGTCGCAGAGTATTAATACCCCATTCTCAATATAACATAGGGTTACCAGACATCAGTAAAAGTCCAGGCATGTCTCAAGAAAGTCATCAAACGTATTAAGGTTTTCTTAAAATCCCCATAAACAGTTCTTATGGCCGTTAAAACTGTAGAATGTACTTTTTTTATTAAAACAGTAATTATTTCACATATTTATTATTTTGTCCAGATTTTTAGAGAAATGTCTGGAATTTTCCTTAGGTATGTCAATAAATTATATTTTTGAATACATCAACCTTAATCGTGCCTACATCTAAGTATGTACCAATAGTTTGGAATCGTCTGTTTCAATACCAATTGTCTCGGATCCAACATCATTACATCTCCAATGAAAGTGGCACACCTCACATTATACCTCCTACTATATGATATAGCATCTCTCAACTGTCCATATGCAATTATGCTGGCAGTTTAGGCTTTACAGTTATGCAGTGTTTCTTTCCAAGTACTAATCACATTTGATAGTCTTATTTAATTGACTTGATATTGATAAACAGATGTGAACCTGTTAAAGAGAGATGCTGCCTTCAAACTCACCCAATCAGAGTTATGTATGAATTTAATTGGAAATTGCTGTAAAAAAAATCAAAATAGCTTATTTAAAAGTTCAAGGTCATATATGTTTTTTTTATGAGATAATGAAACAATGTAATATTTATTTATTTTATTTGATAATTATTCATTTTCATTTTGCTTATTCAATTCTTCATTTTTCTTCTTCAAATCATCTAATTGTTTCTGAACTTCATTAATTTCATCATCAGTTACAGTAACTTCTGTTCCACATGCTATTTGCTCATCTCTGATAAATTTCAAACAACTTATTTTTTCTGCCAAGAAAGCCGGATGTTCACTTTCTAATTTTAATTTGTACAAGTTCAACCTATTAAAAAAAATACCTTTTTTAAAAAAGCAGATATTTCTCATTTGTGTTGTATTTACCTATCTTCCTTTATGCCTTCACAATATTTGTCTGTTAATTTTCTCAAGGAATCTTTTCTTGAGATAACATAACTTTCTGTGGGCTCAGGTTTATATACTATATCCAAATTTTCTATTAACCATTCAAATTTTTTATAATCCCATCTCCTTAAATGTCTTAGGTGTTTTTTTCTTTTTTCAATCAATTCCTTTAGAATAACCTTTAGTCTTAGATTTCTTGGGAATTTGTCCAAATGTTCTTGTTGAGCTCTGATAACGCCTATGATTAAAATTATGGTTGATTAAAACACATTAGTTATTTTCTTATAATGATTTGACCTCGGGATTGATGGATTGACCCATTTAATGTATGTAAATAACTACTTCACTGTGTTCTAAAAGAGCAATACAAAGGAGCCCAACAAAACTCAACATTAGCCACAATATTATTTTACTAAATTTTAATAATCTAGGTACTTTCAGCCCCTTTTTTATAACCCAAGTTGTGGCATAGGTACAAGTTCTAATATATTCAAGCACTTAACTTATAAAGAAAATTCTCAAATTTTTTAATTTAGCTCTTTATCAATCTCACTGAATTTTGAATTTTAATAATTATACTTACCAGTCCATTTAGCTATTTTAGCTTCTATAGACGTCCGATCATATTCATGCCTCTTCACTTTTTCCACAATATCATTATAAAATATTCTATTGGTGTACTTCTTCGGGGCAAACTCTAATGTGAATAATTTCTTAACATTTTCATCGGCGCTCTGCAACTCTTTAGAATCTCTAAATTCTAGAAGAACCTGTTTTTTATCTAACTTTGGAAAACCTTTAAGATCTCCGCTTTTTTCTGGCTTGTAGCAAGGTATTTTTTCTGGGCGATTCCACTTGATTTTTAAATCACTTTTAAAGGCATAGTTTCTAAAAATTATATTATCTAAAATGCAGCTTTCATGAATGGGAACAACTGAATTAATTCCCAAACATCTAAATCTAATCATATTTTATTGTTTCTATTTCTAATAACTTTCTTAAATTAAAAATAAAAAATTAAGGTTATGTTTTCTTCTTTTTTCTTCTTCTTCTTCTTCTTCTTCTTCTTGCTCATGTGTTTGTTGCTTGCATTGCAACTTGCAAACAGTAGGTATACAGGACAGGCTTCTGTTAAATGAATGACCGGCGATTGTGCAGAAAAATGTCTAAATAATTATTCTTATCTTCACATTATTTTTTTATAATATATAATTTTTTGAAGTAAACAACTTTGCGATTATTTCAAAATATATGATTAACTGAAATTAAAAACTACAAAAAGGTAGGCAGGTAGGTATATTATATTGGAAATATAAAAGCCAAGTGATTAGGCGCGCGCCAGACCCAGACAGCACACCAAATTCTTTGGATATCTACTGAACATCCCAATATCCACTGAATGTCCAGTCCATGGTAGATATATATTTTATATCCATGAGATGTAATTTATAGACATGCAAATGTCCATAAATAATAGTAATTATATAGCAAATTATTAAAAAATTACGCCATTGTGCTCGCCATTGTGGCTAATAGTACCGTTCAGATATTTAAAATTAATTTTTTTAATGTGAATTCAATATCCCATGAACATCCACTAAATATATCAAAGTCTAGGCGCGAACGCAAACCATCGTGGATATCCACTAGATGTTATTTGATTCTGCTTACTAAGTATAGATGGCGATACCACTATCGAATCTACTCATGCTCGACCCGCCGTAATAGAGTTCGATCGAAATTTTTGTCCTACAGACTCCATTAGAGACTGGAGTCAAGAACTTCCATTTATTGCTGAAGAGTCATAATAAGGATGATTTCCTCCTTAGTGGGAAAAATCAAAGGCAGAGTGTTGAAAATATTTTGAGTGTTGAAAATATTTTTTATCTCTGCTATTTTCTTTCGACGTTATTCAATAATCATTGGTTACTTATGAACCTCTACTAAAGATACCCATAAAATATTTTGTTGAATATCCGAATATTCTTCTATATCCTGGGATATAGACGGACATTTGGTTGGATATCCATATTGGATATATTGAATATCCACAAAATATATTCTGTAGATATCTCTGGGATTTCTTGTATTTTCTGAAAGATGCCCATTAGACATTTTGCTGAATATCCATTAGGATATATATTCTGGATATAGACGGACATTTGGATATCCATATTAGATCCACGGAATATTTCTGATATCCTGTAGATATATTGGATATCCACAAAAGATATTCTGTGGATATCTCTGGGATTTGGTGTGTTGTCTGGGGAGCTACTTGAAGATATCCTATAATTTATTAAATTATAACCTCGAGATTTTAAGAGAAAGCAAAAAAACAAGACGGCGGAGAAGAATAAACTTATTAAAAAAAATCTATATCCCGAAGTTCGTTAAAAAAGGTATATATCCGGTCACGTGGCCAAAATTCCTACAGCGGAAGTAGCGAAACCAGACAACAGAAAATGCTTGCAAAAGGGATTTTTTTTTAGTTACTGACGTCTAGAAGCTTATATTTCATTGTAAGCAAAAAAGGAAAATCGATCGATAAGCAACTTTACTTTCACCCCCTCCCCTTTACACATCTGTACAAATAGCAAGCAAAAAAGATGACTTGCCATTTATGGCAGTCAAATGAGGGACTGTAAAGAATGTGTATTGCATATCATCCCGGCTGAGAGCGGACCTCTATAGGCTAAACGGGTGTAAACTGGTGTAAATCATTGCAAGAAACGAATGATGACTCAGAGTGTACGATACGATAGTTACAGTCGCGTTACACCAGAAAACAGGGGATTTGGGGATTATGTTAAGAATACTGCTGTTGAGGAATGCATTTATTTTCATTATGATATTTCAAAATTTAAAGCCCTTTGATTTTTTTTCTTGGAAACTGAAAATAATTAAAACTTTAAAATATAAGCATATTCTAGATATTATTGCCTTATTTATTTTGCCAAAATTTTAACTTAAAAAAAAATTACTTTTTGAGATTTGTCCGAAAATTATAAGGGGGTGCTGTACTCACCTTAAAGACGTCTGGCCAAATTTAAAAGCCTGTACATATTCAAAAAAATTAACTGATTTAAAATTCTAAGAAGGTAATTATTGTTCCTATTTTGTGTAAATTACAATAACTTTTTGTGACCAGAATGTTCTTTTCTAAATTTCTTTTTAGGAGCTGCTAATTATAAGGTAAGTTGGGGTAATTGTAAAAATGGGGCAAATGTGTTAGCTCAACAGCTCTCCTACTTCATCAACCGAAAACCGTCCGCTCCCTCCTTAAATGAAAGCACCCACTTCCTAATTGCCGCTTAAATCAAACAAGCGCGTCAAAACCCGCTTCAGATCGGTTTCAGACGCCGTATGGTAGACTGCTGGTATTTCACTCAGTAACCAAATTCAGCACGTGTTTTTTGAAATAGCCTCCAGATCCATGGTTTTCGGGTAAGTGTTTGAAAGTTGAAATTTTTAAATGATTCATAAGTTGAATTTTTATAAGGTTTTATGGAAAATTGAATTATATTATAAGTTTTTTTTTCTGAAGGCCTATAACACATTTACCCCGCGGAAAAAAGGAGCTCGGGGTAAATGTGTTATATACTATATTATATTTACCCCACAGGCTATTACATTTACCCCTTTTATTTTTTCAGATAAAATGGTTCGAGTTTATAAGAAAAACGGGACCAAAGTCCCTAAGTACCCAATAGAAACGTTGGAGCTAGCAGTACGAGAATGCATTACAAGATATAACATACCATACAGTACCATATATAGTCGCGTAAAAGAACTTCGAGGAATGAAGAAAAACTTTAGAGGTCGACAAACAGCATTAACGAGCAATCAAGAGCAGGAGTTAGCATCTGTACTGGCCACTTTGGAAAAGTGGGGTTTTGAACTGTCAAAAAAGGAAGTTTTGGAACAAGTTTCTCTTTTCGTTAAAGAAAATAAGTTAGAAACTCCTTTTAAAAATGGAATGCCAGGAAATGATTGGTTCCTAGGTTTTAAGAAAAGGCATAATCTTAGCATTAAAGTACCCCAGTCAGTTGAGTATGCTAGAAAAAAAGCTACTGATCCATTTACTATTTATCAGTACTTCGACCTTTTGGAAAAAACGTTGAAAAAACTGAACCTAAAAGATAAACCTGCCCAAATTTGGAACCTTGATGAAAGTAGTTTTTCCATAGATCCTAGCAAGCCAAAAGTGGTTGGTAAACGCTGAAAACCCTGTGCAAGAGTAACAAGCACCCCCGAGCGTGAAAACACAACAGTATGTTTTCTGGCAAGTGTTGCAGGGGAAAAGGCACCGCCACTAATTATTTTTAAAGGCGCCAATATATAGAATCAGTGGCAGGCTCCGGACAGTGTTTTTCCCGGTATATTGTATGCTGCCAGTCAAAAAGGTTGGATGGATACGGAATTTTTTTTAAATTATTTCAAAAATACTGTTATCCCTGCGTTAGGCCCAGAGAGGCCTCAACTTATTATATATGATGGCCATAAAACTCATGTATCTACGGCTATAGTTAATTTGGCAAACAAGGAAAATATAACAATTATCAAGCTACCGCCACATACAACCCACCTTATCCAACCACTGGACTTGTCGGTTTTTAAGTCGATTAAAGATGCTTAGGATATGAAGCTGGTAAAATGGCAGGGACATAACATTGGACGACACCTTCCAAAAAATTTGTTTTCTAAGTTTATTGCAGAGACCTGGTCAGAAGCTAATTCCAGCTTCATTGTAAATGGTTTTAGAAAAGGCGGCATTGTTCATTTTAATAACGAAGTAGTCTCTAGAGAAAAATTTGACAGTGAAGCCTTGAAAAGATGGAAAGCTCAAACCTTAAACTCAGGTATTTTTCCCTTTGACAAGAACATTTTCACAGACGATGATTATATTGCTAGCAGTGTCACTGACCGATGCCAGCCAGCTGATAAAATTGCTGGTCCATCTGAGCATCACGTTACTGGGGATTGCGGAGACGAAACATTTGAAACCCATACGGCTGATAATCAGGATTGCAATGGCACAACAATTGAAACCTCTAAGACTAATATTCAAGAATCTGAACTCACCAAAGGAACTAATATTATTGAAAAATTTATATCGCCGGCAGTATTGAAAGGCTATCCAAAAGCACCAGAATTAAAACAAAAGAACAGGGCTACAAAAAAAGAGAGTATCATAGCTACAGACACGCCAGAACTTAATGAAATAAAAGCAAAATCCAAGGAGAAAATGAGGCAGGCGGAATTAAAAATGAGAAAAAAGCAGGGAAAATTAAATGACGTCAAGACCAGAGTGTTTAAAGAATCTTCTAGTGAAGAGTCTGATAGGGAATCCTATCAGGAAGATACTAGGAGCTCCTCTGAAGATGCTAGTGATATTGAACATGCCTTGGATAAAGATAACTTTCTTGCACTGGAGCGACAACCAATCGCTGGGGACTACGTTTTAGTTCAATTTGATGAATTAAAAACTGTTATCTTTTATGTTGCAAAAATTTTAAATAAAAAAGAAGATGAATTTGAAATTTCATTTCTTCGCAAAAGTAACAAGCCTAACAACTGTTTTTTCCACTCCGTAACAGAAGATATAAGTATGATCGAAGAAAAAAACATCAAAATAATACTTTTCAAATATTTAACGACTGGGAAAACTAAGAGGCAACAGGCTCTAATACGTTTTGAACTAAACTTCAACTCATTAAATGTGCGCTAATATTTTGAAAGATTTTATTTTATTTTTTAGTTGTTGGATTTATATTTTATGTTGTCCTATCTAGCAAAATAAGTTTTTTGGATACTGTTTTTTTCAAAAAAATGTTCATTTTTCTTTATTATATATATTTTTTTCATATTTTTGTATTGGTTTTTGGTCAAAAAAGTTCTGTCTCATAGTGGAACATACTTGTTCCACAATGAGACAAAAATCACGATTTAAAAAAATCCCTATTTATTTTTTAAATCGATATATTGATAAACTTATTGCATTAAATGACGAGGAATATGTCAATCTATGTGCATGAAATAACAAAATTACAAAATTCAATCATAACCTCTGGCAACTTACCGAAACGTAACTTATGTCTCATTGTGGAACACTTTCCCCTAGAACCTATAAAGGTTTGAAAATCTAACAGGACAATATTTTTGCCATAATAAAATGCAAACATTATTTCAGGAAAATGAAGTAATGAAATAATGAAAAAATTATATAATAATTAATTTTTTTATTAATTAAATACATAAATAATATATTTACAAAAATTACAAAGGAAACTTTAGGTACATTACACTAATTACATGTATCAAATGCTTATAAAAATGAATATCATCAAAGATTCATTTTGTATTCACAATAATATATCGCAAGAAAACAATGGCGATAAAGGATTAAAAACTAATCAACAGAATAAATATATTTTATGAGATCTTCGGTTAAAAAAAATCTATATTTAAAATGACAACGAAGGTAAAATTACAGAAGCAGAAGTACATTTTTTTGTGTATTGAACTATTATCAATACAATACGAGTATTTTAAACTATATTATTTATAATACTTTAGTTAATGAGGAACGATTAGATTTAACCTTACAAGGTAGGTATGTCGATTTATCTTTCAAGATTTATTTTATTAGAATGCCATCTTTTTTATTTCTGTTTAAATGAATAACAAAACGTTGACAGAATAAACATTAGATTTCTCTATTCTAAGATCTATAAAAATAGTTAAGATATTACAGGTTGCAGGTCAAAAAAACAATTGTAAACTATTTTTTGTTAGACATTGACAATAATATCACTTTTTCGATTTAACACTACTTTTTATTTAATATTTTTCTTTTTAGAAGGTCCTCTCTTACTAAAGAAGAATACGCATTAGGCAATCAGTCTTGTCGCTATAGTCTCCACTGCGCACAATGAAGTTCTTTCCCATATAACTTGGTATTCTTGAGCTGTGTTCGCACGTATCGCGTTCCCCAGATGGCAGACAACGTCTAAAAGACGTTTGGAAAAATCCATAATTCAGACGTATTAATTTGAGAGCTCAAATACGTTCTTAAGATGTCTTAAAGACGTCTGGCCAAATTTAAAAGCCTGTACATATTCAAAAAAATTAACTGATTTAAAATTCTAAGAAGGTAATTATTGTTCCTATTTGGTGTAAATTACAATAACTTTTTGTGACCAGAATGTTCTTTTCTAAATTTCTTTTTAGGAGCTGCTAATTATAAGGTAAGTTGGGGTAATTGTTAAAATGGGGCAAATGTGTTAGCTCAACAGCTCTCCTACTTCATCAACCGAAAACCGTCCGCTCCCTCTTTAAATGAAAGCACCCACTTCCTAGTTGCCGCTTAAATCAAACAAGCGCGTCAAAACCCGCTTCAGATCGGTTTCAGACGCCGCATGGTAGACTGCTGTTATTTCACTCAGTAACCAAATTCAGCACGTGTTTTTTGAAATAGCCGCCAGATCCATGGTTTTCGGGTAAGTGTTTGAAAGTTAAATTTTTTAAATGACTCATAAGTTGTATTTTTGTGAGGTTTTATGGAAAATTGAATTATATTATGTTTCTTTCTGAAGGCCTATAACACATTTGCCCCGCGGAAAAAAAGGAGGTCGGGGTAAATGTGTTATATACTATATTACATTTACCCCACAGGCTATTACATTTACCCCTTTTATTTTTTCAGATAAAATGGTTCGAGTTTATAAGAAAAAAGGGACCAAAGACCCTAAGTACCCAATAGAAACGTTGGAGCTAGCAGTACGAGAATGCCAAGCGGGACATTTGACAATGTATAAGGCGTCTACAAGATATAACATACCATACAGTACCATATATAGTAAAGAACTTCGAGGAATGAAGAAAAACTTTGAAAGTCGACAAACAGCATTAACGAACAATCAAGAGCAGGTTACAAAAAAGAAGAGTATCATAGCTACAGACACGCTAGAACTTAATGAAATAAAAGCAAAATCCAAGAAGAAAGTAAGGCAGGCGGAATTAAAAATGAGAAAAAAAGCAGGGAAAATTAAATAACGTGAAGACCAGAGTGTTTAAAAAATCTTCTAGTTAAGAGTCTGATAGGGAATCCTATCAGGAAGATACTAGGGGCTCCTCTGAAGATGCTAGTGATATTGAAGATGCCTTGGATAAAGATAACTTTCTTGCACTGGAACGACAACCAATCGCTGGGGACTACGTTTTAGTTCAATTTGATGAATTAAAAACTGTTATCTTTTATGTTGGAAAAAATTTAAATAAAAAATAATATGAACCGCCACATACAAACCACCTTCTCCAACCACTGGACTTGTCGGCTTTTAAGTCGATTAAAGATGCTTAGGATATGAAACTGGTAAAATGGCAGGGACATAACATTGGACGACACCTTCCAAAAAATTTGTTTTCTAAGTTTATTGCAGATGCCTGGTCAGAAGCTAATTCCAGTTTTAGAAAAGGCGACATTGTTCCTTTTAACAACGAAGTAGTCCCTGGAGAAAAATTTGACAGTGAGATCTTGAAAAGATGGGAAGCTCAAACCTCAAACACTTTAAACAATTTGGAAACCGTAAATACCTCCACAGCAAAAACGAGCACCAGTTTAGATAAGGCGAACACTATCCTAGCCGAGACGACCAATAGTACAGCAAAAGCTCTCACTAGCAAAGCTTCATTTGAGTCACTTTTATTAAAATGCGTGACTCAAAATCAAGCTCAAACAAAATTTACAAAAAAAATTTAGAGGTTATAACAGCGCCAAAGCAAGATGTTGTTAATGATGTTACCGATACGGCGAATTCAAAAACTAGGGTAAGAAAAGCATCCAGCATCCATCAATCTGGACATTTATCATTTCAAGAGTCAGATAATTCAGAGGAGTTATTATTAGAAAGTGAGAATATTGAAACTTATGAGGAACCCCAAATTTTAGAAATTAATAAGTGGGTGTTTGTCCAATTTGCAACAAAGAAAATTGTTAAGCATTTTGTTGGCAAAATAATCGAGAAACTAGACTCTGATGAATGGCTTATCAAATTTTTAACATCCAAAAAAATAAGTTCTTTTGGCCTGACGTTGAAGATATTTCAATGGTCGAGAGTACAAACATAATAGAAGTTCTTCCTGAACCAAAAGAAACCAGAAAATGCACATAATTCAATAAATTTTTACAAATGCCCCCTACAGGCTACCTAACCAATCGCAATAAGCGCTTGGACGACGTTATCACATTTATCCTAAATCATGGGGCAAATATAATATATTGACATCATTTTAAAAAAATAATATAAAAACTGGTAAGAGAAATAAAGACAATTATTTTATTTAACAAAAATAATAAATTACATTGCAAAGAATATACTCAGTAAGTTTCAGATTTTTTCTAAGTGAAATACTAACACAGTGGAGATCTAAAGATGAACTGTTCAAATTTTACCACGCAATTACCCCAACTTACCTTACAAAGATAAGTGCAAATCAAAAAGAAAGAGAAAAATAAATTCAAAGAGGTGTGATCGAATGCGATACAAAGAAAATAACAACTTTTAGTGACCTGTAATTATAAGGTATTTCATCAATAAATATTTTTGCTTCTATATTTTGCAATCTTTATAACCTGCAAGGTTATTTGCATGATGATACCTATTTTTAAATTATTTAATATTATAGACAGGTTATAGAATTAGCAGAATAAAAATAATTAAAGTCTTATTTATAGCTTGTTTAAGGTTAACCAAACCATTGTAAGCCATTAACATAAGACATCTTAAAGACGTATAATGTATGGCTTATTTACGGCTTCAAAAAAAGACGTCCCCTTTTGTAACATCAAACGTCTTTCAGAAAATACCAAAAGTCTTACAGACGTCTGATATGTATTGTATGCAAGATATCTTTAGGAAAGAGGACTTTGTGATATCTGGGTCGCCTATCTCTTTTCCAAAGAATATCGGGAGACCGCGAGACTAGCACAGCTCGCGATGTAATGGAACCGCGATTGCCTAATGGACTTTCTCCTTTGTACTCATTTATTGGTTTGCTAGCTAATATCAAAAGCATGAATTCATATTTATTTTTGAATACTGTGAAACCGGTAGTGATTAATAATTTTGACAGATTTACTCGTAAACTATAATGAATGTCTGATATTTATTTAATTGACATTTAATAGCTATTTATGTTTTCCTAACGATTTCATAAACGTTTTTTTAGAAATTATTATTAACGAATATTTAATTTGTTGTCCAACTCTATTTTTTCCCTGAGTTGACGTTGACATTTCTCTCGTCAAGGATTTACAGGTCGATTAACATTTAAAGATTTTCTCGTGAATTATTGTTTATATTAGTGAATACTATTTAAGTACGGGTACATAAAAATCTAAAGTAAGGACCACGATTTATAACAATTATGCTCCAAAAAAATAGTTCCATGGTTTTGTCTGCCAAAGTGAAAAAGTAGTAAATACCTAACTGAAACGTAAAAAAAACAATATTTTACTCGTTAATTTCTAAAAGGAACATTTTCCATGAAGTTAAAATTCTTAAAAAAATATCGGTGTGTCGCTTTGCTTCCAAAACAGTCACATTTTTATATGAATGTTTAAAACAAATTATACGATTTTTTCGAATTTACCTACTTTACAACATTTCTATTATCACAGCTCTACCGAAATATGTTTTATCACAAATTAGAGTTTTCATTGGCTGGTTCATCTTTTACGACAGTGCTAATATTATTACTGGAAGAGACATTTTTTTTAGTTTTGACAGAATTTCCATTACTGCTGGCGACGCTGCCATATTTCGATGATTCAACATCTCGTTCCTTCAACTTAGCTGGATCGTTCCATTTCTGTTCCTCTCCGCTACCAAATAAGCAGTAAATTATGTTCGTTACGATGAAAACGGCGAACGTGATCCAGAATACTATTCTCCATTGTGACAGAGTGTGCTGAAAAAAAAAAAAATGAAGGAATATTTTCAAATTCAATCAATAATCATAACGAATTAATAAAAAAAAATGTTTTCTAAAGTAGACCATCTAACAGCAGGCTTAAACAACAGAATGTTATTAGATGTCAGTTGTAAACGCTGTCAAATAAAAATACTTATTACTTGCATTCGTATTATTATTTTAATAATAATATAATATTACTTGGTGTCAGAAGTGTTAGAAATTTCATGTTAATCTTTAAGCCTTAGTTATATTGTTTTTATGTACTGTTCGCTAGTTTTTGACTTTGATGTAATGTCGTAAAAAATAAAAAAAGTTGTCAAAAGTAAAAACGGTGTATTTTTACATTCAAAAGTAAAGTCTTTGGATAACTGTGGCCTAAATACTTTCCAGCGATAGCGACTCTCCTACAGGTTATGGGCCCAGAAGGAATTAATTTAGAAAATATGTCGTCCCTTCCTCCTATTACCAAATTAGTAGGACGGGAGAATTATCAAGATTGGAAGTATGGCATGGAGTTGTACCTGGAAGATTTGAATGTATGGAATGCTGTTGATGGATATCCTCCTGATGACAAAACTGATGAGGCTACAAGAAATAGAAGCGACCAGAGAGCCTTAACCAAAATAGGTTTAATGGTTATGCCTTGTTGTTATCCTCATATTAGGAGTTGCAAAACTGCTAAGGACATGTGGGGGAATTTAGAAAAAGCTTTTGAGGATAAAGGCTTAAATAGACGAGTTCGTTTGCTTCGTTCAATGTGCTCATTGAGATTAGAACATTTCACGTCTATGGAAACTTACGTGAATGAGTTTATGTCTATTCAAATGGCTCTTGCTAGTATGGAAAAGCCCGTAGAAGACGAGTTTCTTGGTGCTGCACTGTTAGCTGGTCTACCTTCTGATTATGACCCTATGATTATGGCAATAGAGAACTCAGGAGCTAAAATAACGAGTGATTTTGTAAAAACTAAGTTGCTTCAAGACACTCATTGGGACAATAAACAAAATAATTCTGAATCTGCGATGGTGAGCAAGTTTAAGCCTAAAAAGAAGAACCAAGGAAATATTAAATGTTGGGGGTGTGGTGAAGTTGGACATGTAAGGCCCAATTGTCCCAAGAAAAGGGCATCGGTTACTAAGCCAGACGGAGAAAAATCAAATGAGCAAAAATCTCTAGTAGCGGCATTTGGCGTTAAAGTCTCCAGCGGCGATTGGTTTGTTGATTCCGGTGCTTCCGCCCATATGACTTTCCGCAAAGATTGGTTTTCTGATTTTAACAACTGTACAATGAATAATATTGAAGTTACTGTTGCAAATAATTGTAAATTATTTAGCGAAGGCGTTGGTAATGTGCCAATAAAAACTGAAAAATGAGAATAGCATAACAACAATTACAGATGCTATATTTGTACCTGGTATACATGTAAATTTATTGTCTGTAAGCAAGTTAGTTTCTAAAGGACTAGTTGTTGTGTTTGACTCTACTGGTTGTAGGATAATGAAAACCGAAAATTGTAAAATAGAAGGAACAATTTTTGCTGCAGCATCGAATGTAGCTGGTATTTATCGATTGAACATATCTGACGATGTTTCTAGTATTCCTAGTCAACCCTGTTTAGCTGTAAATAATGTAAATATTGATTCTCATGAGTTGTGGCACAAGCGCCTATGTCACTTGAATAGAAAGTCTATGAAACTATTAAAAAATGGCTTGGCAATTGGTATTTCTTTTTCCGATGATAATGGTAATGTCTGTATATCCTGCGCCGAAGGAAAGATGTCCAAGAAACCTTTCAGAAATAGAAATAAAAGAGCATCAGAGAAACTGGAACTTATTCATGCAGATCTTTGTGGGCCAATGCCTGTGCCGTCTTGGAGTGGAACAAATTATATGTTTACCCTGATAGACGACTGCACTAGAAAAATATTTGTCTATTTTTTAAAGACAAAAGATCAAGTTTGTTCAACTTTCAAAGAATTTAAAATAATGATTGAGAACCAAACGAACTTGAAGATCAAAAAATTAAGGACTGATAATGGTGGTGAGTTTGTCAATCATGCTTTGACTGAATACCTAAAGAATAATGGCATTTTGCATCAGTTGACTATACCGTACAATCCCCAGCAAAACGGGATTGCTGAACGAGTTAATAGAACTGTAATGGAAAAAGTTAGGTGTATGATGCAGGAAGCAAAGTGTGACAAAAGAATGTGGGCTGAGGCTGCAAATACAGCTGTTTACATTATAAATCGTTCACCACATAAATCACTTCCTAACATAACTCCTGAGGAAAAATGGACAGGTGAAAAAGTAAATTTAAGTCATCTGAGAGTTTTTGGATGTATTGGTTACGTCCATATTCCAGATCAGAAGCGAAATAAGTTAGATGCTAAAAGCAAAAGAATGATTTTCGTTGGTTATGAAGAATCAGGGTATAGATTTCATGATTTGGCCAACCCACAGAAAATCACAAGGGCCAGAGATGTTGTGTTTTTAGAACATGAGTTTGGGTTAATCCAAGAAAAAGGTGATATACCGAGTATAACTCATAATGTACCTAGTATACCCATTTACATAGATGAAAACGTTTCTGAACCTGTAATTTTAAAAGAAAATCTAACCCAAAATACTGGAAACTTATTTTGCGAAGGGGAACAAACCGAAGAAGAAGGAGAAGAAGAAAGGGAGTTAGAAATTACAACAGTTCAAGAAAAAAGATATCCAGTAAGAGAAAGACACAAAAAAATTTTTTGATGATTATGTAACTTATTACACGGAAGCTGATGATATTGATGCTGAGCCTAATGAACCAGACAGTTTAGTAAATGCTAAGACAAGAGTAGATTGGAAAAAATGGAAAATTGCTATGGAAGAAGAATATCAAAGCCTTCTTGAAAATAAAACATGGACACTAGTCGATCTACCTCAAGGTAAACGAGCCATTAAGTGTAAATGGGTATTTAAGTTAAAAACGGATATAAACGGAAAACCCAAATATAAGGCTCGACTAGTGGCAAAAGGTTTCACTCAAATTTATGGTGTAGATTACTTCGAGACATTTTCGCCTGTGGTAAGAAGGTCGACTGTCCGTTTTTTATTTGCCTTTGGTGCTGAATTTGGCTTAAAATTTTACCATTTCGACGTCTGTACTGCTTTTTTAAACGGCGACTTGCGAGAAGAAGTGTTTATGATCCAACCGGAAGAATTTGAAGAGAAACAATGTAGTAGCAAAGTTTGTCACTTAAATAAAGCTATTTATGGTTTAAAGCAGGCATCAAGAGCTTGGAACATAAAGGTTACAGGAGTTTTAGCAAATTTAGGATATGTAAGATCTGAACATGAACCTTGCTTATATTTTAGAATAAGCAAAGCTGTATTAGTCATTGTCGCGTTATATGTTGATGATTTTTTAGTACTAACAAATAGTGAAGAAGAAAAATCTAATTTGCACGATAAGTTGCAGTCACAATTTAAGATTAAAGACTTGGGAGTCACTAAACAAATTTTAGGGATGAGAGTAAGATATGATGGAGACAGAGTTATAGTCGATCAAGAAAGTTATATCAAAGAAGTTTTAAAGAAGTTTTCTATGTATAACGAATTTAAAATTTAAAGATGGAATATTAGGAAATATAGTTGACGTACCTTATCAAAGTTTGATTGGCTGTCTACTGTACATCGCTATCAGTTGTCGTCCAGACATATCACACATTTGTAGCATTTTAAGTCAATTTAACTCATGCTACAGAGAGCAGCACTGGAAATGTGCCAAAAGAGTTCTGCGTTATTTGATAGGAACATTAAACTATTGTTTGATGTACAAACCAACAACTGACAAAAGAGTCACTGGTTTTGTAGATGCTGATTGGGCCAATCAAGAAACAGATCGCCATTCTTACACAGGATTTGTTTTTAAATTAGGAAATGGACCAATATCTTGGGAAAGCAAGAAACAGATTACTGTCGCTCTTTCATCAACTGAGGCAGAGTACATGGCCTTAAGTGAGTCCTGCAAGGAGGCAATCCACTTAAGAGGTTTGGTTAAAGAGTTACTTGGCACTGAACATCAGATTCTTCTCTATTGCGATAATCAAAGTGCTTTAAAATTATCGCGCAGAATCCTGGTTTTCACAATAGAACGAAGCATATTGATGTTAGACATCACTTTGTTCGAGAAGTAGTTGAAAATAAATGGGTAGAAGTTAAATATATTCAATCCAATGAAATGGTTACTGATATATTTACCAAAGGATTATCCAAACCTAAACATTTAAAATGTGTCAACGGGCTGGGGCTTCAAAGTTTTTATGGCTTATGATTAAGGGGAAGTGTTAGAAATTTCATGTTAATCTTTAAGCCTTAGTTATATTGTTTTTATGTACTGTTCGCTAGTTTTTGACTTTGATGTAATGTCGTAAAAAATAAAAAAGTTGTCAAAAGTAAAAACGGTGTATTTTTACATTCAAAAGTAAAGTCTTTGGATAACTGTGGCCTAAATACTTTCCAGCGATAGCGACTCTCCTACAAGAAGTGGGATCTCACAAAATGAATGATGAAACTAAAAAGGAAATTGATAAATTGCGTGAGCAAATCGAAGAATTAACCACAATGAATCGCCAAATGATTGCATCCAAAACAGTAGCAACACAAGCGATCCCATTTATCGACCCTCCGAAAGCATTCAAAATAGAGAATGATAGAGCAAAAGATTGGAATAAATGGCTACAACATTTCGATATTTACGAAAAAGTGACACAGTTGACCAAGAGGGATATAGATCAACAAATATCTACATTTATGATGACAGTAGGAACTGAATGGTTTGAAACATTTAACAAAAAAGCCTCAGTGACTGATCTTAAGCCAGCCTTTAAAGAGTTGTTTGTGCCAAAAATAAATACGGCTTATGAAACAATGATTTTCAATAGAATGAATGAAAATCTAAGAGAGAAGCTATTATCTATGGATGAACCAAGTTTAGCACAGACGCTTAC